GCCCCAAGAGCCCCCCCCCCCCCGCGCTAGGAAGCGCTGGGCTGGGGCGGAGGGCGGGGGGCGCGGCGGGGACTGCGGGGGCGGGGTGCTCTCCATCCCCCGCCAGGGGCTGCTGTCCGGGAGGGAGGAGGGGGCCAGGGCGTGGCCCCTTGCACTCGCGCTCCGACCGGGGCGGCCCAGTATGGTCGGCTTTTGATGGGGCGCCAAGCTACTTTGGAGGGAGGGCAGCGCAGGGGGCGCTCCAGAAGCAGGAGCTGGCTGAGCGAGGGAAGGGCGGACGGGTCGCCTAGCCTCCTGGCGCCCCACCTCTCGAGGCTGGCTCCCCTCCCCGTCGGTTAGCACTTGTACCAGTGCTGGATTTACGCATAAGCTAAATAAGCTACAGTTTAGGGCCTCACAATCTGCTGGGGCCTCAAATAAAAACACAATATAAAAATGATTTCAAATATTAAAAGCGTATATATTTTAAATTTTTCTGAGACCAGCTGATGTAATTTAAAACAGTAGGGGGCCTCTGGGTTTTGTCTAAATCCGGCCCTGACTTGTACCCTCCCTGTGGCGGCTGCCCACCGCGTCCTGCTTCCAACCCCCATCTCGGCTCAACCCCCCAGCCAAGGCGGAGATCTGCCTTCATCCAGCTCCTCCAGGGCCCCGGCGGCACCTCGTCCCTCCCTGACACCGATCCAAGTCAACTGCCTATAGCCCAGTTGTGACATCATCACTTTGGCGCCTTCTGGCACGTTAGCCCTCAGCAGCCTGTAAGTGGGGATGATCCAGCATAGACGGTCTACGTGGCCTGCGCGCTGCACACCATTGATCTGTTATGCTGGTGTTGTTACACAGTGCAATGGCAGGACTGCTGTGGAGCAAGAACTATTCATGTAATTGAATACAGTTAAACATCTCTGGTGGTACCCAGAACTCCCCCTGCTCTGGCTTAGGGGGACGTGCACCAGGACCTGGGAAAACAAGGGTGGGGGAGAGATGGCAAAGCGTCTGGGCACTAGGTGCAGGGCCAAACCAAAACCAGGGGCAAAAATGCCAGGACAGTTATTCCAGAACACTGGGGCAAGTGCTTCCCAATCCTAGCCTTAGCTGGTGATTCCTGGTTGGATGGCCTCACTGAAGAAGCCAACTGCTGTTCGTCTCTGCTTTTCTTCAGGAAACCTAGCCGACTGTACACGCTCTGCAGCTCATTTTGCTGGAAGGCTGCATGGAAAAGGAGTGGGAAATGTTGAGCTACCACGTCCATCCCTTAAAGTGACCTAGTGGCATGTCCCACTGCTGCAGTTGCCACTCTTGGTTTTGGGTTGGCCCCCCCCCCCCCCCCGACAGTGCTGCCGATCTCGAAGTTGGTTTGCTTTCTTCCCGTAGGATCTTGGACTAGAAGGGACATTCCTTAGTGAAGTTCTCTATAAGAATGCTGCCTTTCTCAACCTTGTGGATCCCATCTCCCATGAGCTCTTGATGAGCCTAGCCAGAGACCTGCAGTGCCCCAAGAAGGTGAGGCTCATTGCTTACCACTTGGGTGGGTGGGAGAGAAATGTCTCTGTACACAGTTTGCTTACTTTGGGGAGAAAACAGGAGGACTGCTCAAGCTGCCAGAGGTGTTCAGGTAGATTCAATTAGAGATGTGAAGGCCTGGGGAAAAATGTTTTCCACTAGGGAATTTTGCTGTTTCCAGTAAATAGAAAAAACTGGAAATATTGGGGGAGCACTGAAAGGAACAAAATGCTTCTTAAGACAAATATTTACTTACAATATGTAGTATGGAGATTCAGATGCAAAGCAGTCTAAAACATTAGAGAATAGCAATACCTATGTATATTGTGGACATACATTTTCAATAGATTTATTGTTTAAATGTGACCCCTTTTAATATGCTATAATGTGTATGATAATACACATAAAATTTAGCTCAGAATCTAAACATGCTGCTACTCCTATTGTGGCTATTTCTGTCCAAATCATACACATACAGTTACTACAGTATTTGTTCCAGCATTTCCTTTTTCCCACTTCTCAAATAAATGTGCTAAGGCTAAAACATTAGAGAATAGCAATACCTATATATATTGTGGACATTTTCAATAGATTTATTGTTTAAATAGATTTATATAGATTTATTGTTTTAGATTTAGATTTCAATAGATTTATTGTTTTAATATGCTATGTGTATGATAATACACATAAAATTTAACTCAGAATCCAAACATGCTGCTACTCTGTGACTATTTCTGTCCAAATCATACAAGTACAGTTACTACAGTATTTGTTCCAGCATTTCCTTTTTCCCACTTCTCAAATAAATGTGCTAAGGGAGCATCGGGCACAGCAGTTTCCAGCTAACGTGCGCTTTCTCAGTTTTGCTTGTAGAAAACTAAAGTGTTTATGGCTTTTAATTTTCACAAATATGCTAAGTAGTACCATATTTTATCCTAAGTACTAAATGGCATTGCTGGACATGGTGGTCTTATCTGCATGGTATCCTTCTCTTACTTTTTCCCTGGCGTGAAAGCCTCAGGTCAGTTGTGCAACTGTCTGTCCCAGGGCAAGCCCAGGATACATAGTGTGTGTTTAAAGAGCCCTGATAAGCAGACAACATCAGTTGAGGACAAGGCATGAGACAGTCTGCTGCTTCAGAATGAACGTGCACGCATGCACACAAGACTCTTGTCAGCTTAAAGCCGAGCAGATTTATTTGTGCCAGAAGTTTAGTTGACTAGAACTCATGTATTGAATGAAGTGTGTCCTCAGTTGACAGAAGGAGGCGTGGAGGAAGAAATGTGAATGGTGGGGTCAAAAGCCAATGAAATGACAGTTTCTGTCTCTCGCATCTCTGTGCAAAGCTCAAATATGTACACGATAAGCCACTCACAACAGCATTGATGGGTCATAAAATGTTACTAGACTTGCTAGACTAAGTCTTGCTTTTACGAGAGGAACTGAGAATCCCTGTAGAGTCCTAATGAGATAATATGAAGCTTCCTGATAAATTCTACTTTAGCAGTTTTCACTGCGAAGTATCCCTTTAAATCTTTTTGCTATGGAATGGTTGCAAGATCAGCAACAGTGAGTCCTGGGAGATCAAAAGATGTTCCCAGTGGTTTCTGAGTAGTGCCATTTTGAACAGTGGATATCTAGCCATTTATTCTTTTGCATAGGCACTGACATTTTTGCCCTGTTAAGAGCAGCAGAGCATTGCTGACACATGACATCACAGTAGAAGATGAGCCCAGGATAACGTAGCTGAAGTTATTAGGACTGGTAATTAGATATGGGGACCGAGTAGGTGCGTCTAGGTTTGTTGCAAGGTCTGGTCCCTGAGCTTGCATCACTGTTAGGTGTTCCATTGTTACTGTTTTAGATTAGGGGGTTGTTCATAAATGAGAGACAGAAAGGTATAATTGTCCAGGATGTACTGTAGCTCAGCGTCACCTACACCTCCCAGCTTATCTACAGTAGTCCCTGACCTTTTGTTTTGGGCTTGTCCTGTAGCAGGCTACTCCTTGTCTCCGTTCTGGAGTCTACCGGTCTGTTCTATCATCATGCTGTAGAAATTAAAACCACCAATAATAGTTTAGATTCTTTTGGTTTCAGGAATATGACCCTTGGAAGTCTGCAGATCGGATCTGCCGGCAGCTGATTTATCATTTGACTCCTCATTCAAAATGGCAACAGCACAGCATGCCGTGTCGGAAATCACAGGCAAGGTGAGAAATGAAGATTGGGGTGGGGGTTGAAAGTGGGACAGGGCAGGTAGTCCTCTTGGTTCTGGGTGGGCATCAGCAAGAGTGGCAGGAGACACAGCAATAAGGGGCCAGCTGGTGCTCCTGGAAGGGCATTCTGTCTAAGGGAAAGGCTTCTCTTCCCCAGCCATCCAAGCTCTACCTGTGTGAAAATGGCACATCACGCTGAGCATCCAAGGTAGGCACCTAACAGTACCCTTATACAATCAGCATGCCAACAAACATTACTTCCTCCACCACAATTGTGCTACTTTCCCCTCCCCCTCCCCCCCAGTCTGCACACCATAAACTTAAGGGGGCCTACTGCAAGAAGAAACCCAGGCATGGAAAAGAAGTCTGTCTGGGATTGAGATGTGAAGGATTTGGCCAGAGGAAGGGAGCAAGTGAGTGGAACTGCGGAAGGGTGTTGAAGGAGGGATTGGACACGAGCTCCAGAGAGGTCAAAGGAGTACATGGGCTCAGTTAGAAGGTGGCTTTGTTAGCAAGACCCCGACAGCAGCTTTCCATGTAAATACAAATTAATGACAGGTACGTGGATACTGTGAATATGTTGCAGGCACCAGAGGGAGCCACAATTGCCCCTAGATGTGGATAGGAGGCTAAAAAAGTGAGCTGTTAAATTTCCCCCCCTTTCAGGGAGTACTGCCGGTATGTGCAGCTACATATTTGCTGTATCTAGGATATTGGGGGTGGGCAGATACCAGTCAGGGGAATGGCACAATATGGCCTATTTCAAAGTCATGCCTAAATTGAATGAAAAAGCCTTCCTTCCCTCAGCAGCCTGCTTCCCAGCATTTCCCAAGGCCTCTTGAGAGGAGGGCGAATCAGCTTTTAGGACAAAGAGAGAAGCCTGCCGTTTCCAGCTGCCTCACATCCCACTTCAGCTTCACTGTTCAATTAAAGCAGTTTCTACTTCCCTGTTTAAATAGCAGCGATTTCCTGTAAAGTCCCTCCAAAATACAGCCCAACAGGCTGAGCCTTCTCTGTGGCAAACTGATTTACTACAGTTGTGGTCTCCTAAAATACAAGGTGAGGGCCATGGTAGCTCAGAGGTTAAGACGCTGAGCTGCAGACTGGAAGGTCGGTAGATCAGCAGTTCGAGACCCGAGTGCCACCTGACGGAGCAGGCTCCTGTCTCTGGCCCCAGCTCCTGCCAACCTAGCAGTTTGAAAGCAAGAAATTGCAAGTAGATAAATAGGTACCGCTTCGGTGGGAAGGTAGCAGCATTCCGTGTGCCTCGGCATCTAGTCATGCCAGTCACATGACCAAGGAAATGTCTTTGGACAGCGCTGGCTCTTCGGCTTGGAAACGGAGATGAGCACCGCAACCCTAGAGTAGGATTTGACTAGCTTTCGAGCAAGGGAAACCTTTACCTTTAGAATACAAGTTACCGTGGTTGCCTCTTGTATTATGTTGTCACCCCTTAGATCAGTGGTGGCGAACCTATGGCACGGGTGCCAGAGGTGGCACTCAGAGCCCTCTCTGTGGGTACGTGTGCCATCGCCCCAGCCAGGCCCAGACCACCATTAAAGTGTCGAATTCGCTGCCAAATAATTTTAAGTAAATGAAAGCATTTGGGATTGCTTTCCTTATTTTGTTTGGATCATCTTAAGTTAATGTAGGAGTTGTTTTTTCTAAAGTAAAACCTCCGTATTCAGGTTAAATCGCCGTGTTGGCACTTTGCGATAAATAAGTGGGTTTTGGGTCGCAGTTTCGGCACTCGGTCTCTAAAAGGTTCACCATCACTGCCTTAGATGTATTGCAAAGCTACTCGGGTTGAAGAGTTTCCCTGCAGGTCATATTTGGTATTCTGCTGAACAAGCCAGGTGGCTTGTGGAAGTCATCTCCACATACATTCCTGTGTTAGAGTTTCCAGGCACAAAAATCACCTGCCAGGAAGTAATTTCCGGCTGCTGGAAAATACAAGTTCCATATCCATGGGTTTTCTGGTATTCTAGCATTCTTCAATAGCACTGTAAGATCAGTTCTGGGAACTGCATTGCCTGACACACCAATGCACCCAAAATACCTTTTAAGAGCATGCAAAACTATTGCAGGATAGAATGAGTGAGTGACACAAGTTTCGACTTTGCACAACAGGAGGATCTTAAGTTATGGATAGGCTTCAAACTGTAAATCTTCAGCCATTGCAGCTTTCTTCCACAGGGGGCCTAGCTGCGTTAGCTTGGCCTGCAGTTTTGGGGATTTTTTTTTTAAACTAGAGAGGGGTGCCACTTTGAGGAACCAAGATAGCATTACCAAGCTGTTTCTCCCTGCCCTGAAGGCCCTTAAGTACCAAGGTCCTTAATCCTCCCCCATCTGCACTCTCTCTCTAGTCTGAAGAACGCATTACAGAAGAAGCTGAGCCAAGATGCTATGCACCTATCAGGGATCCCCCTTTCCACACGGGACATCCATCGCATGGCCTATTACCTGCAGAACAATGGCCACAGCCTCAGCATAGTGGACCTGAGCTTCACTGACTTGAATGATGATAAGCTGCACCTCCTGCTTCCTGTTCTGTGGTCACTGCCCAAACTCACACATCTCTCCCTCAACGGGAATCGCCTGACCAAAGCCACTGTGAAAGAACTGACTGAAGCCATGAAGGACATGAACCGGTTCCCTTGCTTGGCCTGGATTGACCTTGGCAACAATGTAGATGTCTCTTCTATGCCACAGCCTCTGCTGGTTGGCTTGCGGAAGCGTCTCAATTTGCAGACCACCCTGCCTACCATCTATGAGTCCCTCGACAGTGATTCCGAGCTCTCTATCAGCCCCAAGATTGGCCAGCTAGAAGGCACAGAGGTGGCAGCAGCAGCAGTATTGCAAGCTGACAAGGCACAGCCAAAGGTTGAAGAAGAGTCATGCATCTTCCCCCTATGTGAAAGGTGACTGCGCAAATTAAGACCTTCTGTACAAGTCAAGAATGATGCCATGGCAGTAGTATTTGCTGTGCAGGCGCAAGGCCTCCAGCTCTTCCAGCCAGTTTTGTTTGGCACTTCTCTTGCCTTTAACAGCCCCGATCAACTGTACGTTTATCCAGTGAAAGACCACTGCACTTCACAGCCAGAGTCTTCATTTCACGTACTTTGTAACGGGATCAGTCACTTACCGTGATGAAAAGGAACCCATCAGTAGATAAACAATTTGTAGGAACTCAGAACAACCTCCAGGTAGCACCGGCTGGGATAAAGTACAAGTGGTTGCCTTCTTCTTTCCCTTTCTTCCCCTCAACTTATTAAGTGTCGGGGAGGCAATGACTCCACAGTGAGGGTTCTGCGTTTAAAGGCTGAGCCGCTCCTCGAGAGGGCCTTGACAAGAAAAGCAAGCACAAGCTACTCCCTTGTGCTAAGCGCCCTCCCCACTGCAGTGGTGTTTTCATTCTCCAAACAAAGGGCAATGGAATCCCACATTCCGCTCTGTGTGCAGACCAAGAGAACATGTGACTGGGTTGCAGTGTCAGGGTATTTCAAGCCCAGGCATTAGAGATGGGTGTCTCTACTCTGTCTCTTTGGGTATCAAAAGAAACAAGTATTGCAGATACTGCTGTTGTTTGGAGGGGGAGGAGGAGGAATGCTTGTATCGCTTGGGCTGCTTGATACAGAGATATGAACCTGTCTAAAACACATCACAACTCTGCCTTGCTTGCTGCCCAATGGGGATGGCTTAATTTTAAAGCAGTGTTAAAATACATCAATACCAGTGCGGAAACAGACAATGCAGTACTTCCCACAGTTTGCTGTATGCAATGAAGAACAATAAATGACTTTTCCCCTTAAAGGTGGAACACGTTAATAGGGAGTGAGCAGAATCACCACAGACCTCCAAGACAACTGACTTAAAAGTTCCTCTATTCAAGCCCTGCTGCACTGAATGGAAGGTATGCAAGAGCAGTCGAGAGGGGGCCCATTTTCTGTATTAAAACAGAATGTCTTCATTACAAATTAATGTAATTCAAGTGCTGTCCTAGCAAGTAAAGGTAAAGGTTCCCTTGCTCAAAAGCCAGTCGAATCCGACTCTAGGCAAGTAGCATGTTACAAAATTAAGAAAAATGTGTAATTAACTTATCTCAGAAGACCTTTAAGTTGTTGCATGACATTCTTCCGTGTGTGGTAAATCATGGTTAACAGTCCCATTCACAAGCCAACAGTGTGAAAAACTGCAGCATGCAAGTACTGTTCAAATCAAGGATGGGCGGGGAGGTGGCGGCGGAAGGTAGCTAAAATGATACCATTTATATATCCTCCAAAGCTAATCTAACTTGGTCGGTACAGCAGCAACCAGTTTGTACATCAAAAATGAACTTAATTCTACAGCACAGAATTACCATTTTCTAAGAAACATTTATTGGGTCACATAATACAATTAACTTCCAACAGTTTTTAGTTCACCAAGGAGAGACACAGTCCAAAGTTATCTTCGCTTCTGGAAAATGTTGCCACGCCCCATTCCACGGCCTCTTCCTCTTGCAGCCACTGAAGGAAAGAAAACCCGAAACAGATACATAGATCTTGTAAATGCTCCAGAGCAGGCCAAGTTCTCTATCAAGAAAGCCCCCCACACCCCCGGGTTCATTTCTGTTTGCACTATTCATTTTGTTTCCAAAATCTAAGTCTTCCATATTGGACAAGGACAATGGAAACAGAAAAGGAAGGCTATGTTAACAGATGGGCAAACTGTATTTATTTATTTACCTTCAACTTCTACCCCGCTCGAACCCCTCCCATGGGTCTCTGAGCGGCTTACATAGTTTGTATTATCCCTATCTATGGGCACATATATATATATATCGTATTAGGGGCAGGACTACCTAACGGCACCCAGTGGGATTCAGTTGACGTGTACACCACTGTACAGACAAGGAAACTGTATCTTGATCCAGAGGGAGAGAAAAGGGTGAAGCACCACTGCAGGATGCTGAAACCCCTTCCCCCTACACTGAAAATCCTCCTTTCTAGATCACAGCCCTTCTGATTCCTGGAATTACACATAGACAGGCACTCACCCTGGGCTTTGAGGATAGCTGCTTTGCCTCTTCCAGCTCCAGAACCTTGGTTTTTGTTCTTCATGCTTTTCAACATTGGAGCATTTTTCAACATATCTGGTAAGATGAGAAACCTGATTTTGCTTCCTCGAATGTACACTTGCTCTAACTGTGCCACACGCCCATCTCTGTAGGTCACTGTGATGTTGGACATCTGGAAAGGAAAAAATGGAATTGCTGAGTGCAAAAGTGCTGAAAAAAGAAGCATGAAAGCAGGATTTGCTGGCTACTTCCCAAGGCAAAAAGAGCTGTCTCACCAAGCATCACCAGTACTTAGTAAATCTGACTAAAACAAAATCTGAATGGGCAGCTAAGGTCATCAATTTGTCAAATTGTTTTAGTACTTTAAAACTACAAGGAACTACTTGTTCGAAGAGTTTGGGGACCTCCTGGAAAACAAGCTGTGGTGGAACACCAATATGGTCCTTATGTAAAGGTTTGTTTCTTGTGCTAAATATATGAAATAGATGCATGCCAATGGTGCCCAAGGGCTATACTTGAAAAGCATGCATAGACTTTTGCCCTGTATACTGAGGGCCTTTCTCTATACAATTCAGATCACTCATACCCTGCTTATATAAAGCAACAACAATATCTGAGGATGGATCAACTCTATTGCCATTGGGGGACCCCAAGGAGCCTAAAAAAATAAAACCTGTGTGGGTGTGGTGAGATAGCACTTCTTCCAGCTGTGCCAGTTTATGATTTACTTCTGCTGCAAAGAAAGAGTCAATCAAAGTTTCTGTTGGTATGAAGACCCACCAAATTGGATGAAACCCCAAAGTGGGACAATTTATAAAGGCTATTCTGTTACTTCCCAGTGGAAACTTACCTGGCAGTTCATATTGTCCTCAGCCTCAATGAGCTTCCCCCGATAGACTTCACCTGTATTGGTCTCACAGGTCACAATATGGCCCTCTGCTTCATGCAGAACTTTAATTGGTACTCCAATGGACATGGCAGCAGTTGTCTGTGTTCAAGCCTGAGAAGTTAAAATGCAAAACTCATTTCTGACATTATTGCCCCCACTCACATTATAAACTTAGAAAGCTCAAGAAAGAAGGGGGGAATCGATGCAAGGGGGGATGGGGGAGACGAGGGAGGAAAGGCGCCACCACCAGACGAGTCTTTATAGGCAGGAAAGGGTAGAGTGCGGGATACAGGCGTGACCACAATATCCTCCCCCCCCCGTCACGCCTCCAGGCCACGTGAATAATCCACGAGACGCTATTTCTCACTCCACTTCCTGAACGGCTATAGCCGCATCAAAAGCACGAAGAGCCCTAGAATACCTAAAGGGTATTCTAAGGACCCACACAAGACCGGAGACACTAAGTAGGCTGGAACCCAAGCTAAAAGGCCGTCTTACAGGAGACTCGAGCCATTTACTTCATGCGCAGAAACGGGGGGGGGGGGGGACCACTACAAGCGCATCAATACCATCCCAGGCCTACCCCGATAACCTTTCCCTCCACGGCATCAACTACGCTCCTCACCGTCCGGAATCCTGATCGCGGCTGCTGCTTCAACGACGGATCTCCGTTCTCCGGAACCCCACCATACAACGCGCCAATCACTCGGAAACTCGTAACCGCTCTGCTCCGCGACCGGCAAACTCTATGATCGAAGGCGCCGCAAGTTGAAAGGGCCGGCTAAAAAACAGAAGCCCCAGATAATAGTTCCGTGCGGCAGGCAGGCCTAGGTGCGGCTTTGCCCTCCAAAGGCTCCTCTAACCAGCACCACTAGCAGAACAACATGACTGCTGTGCTGGGCCAGGAGACGCCGAGGCTCCCGGGCCGGGAACCTGAGAGGCTGCTGCGGTGTCGCGCTCGACCTCCAGCGGCTCCTCCTGCCCGACATGGGGAAGTGCAGCCCGCCAACACGGGAGCATCCCGTGTCGGGAACAGTAATGTGTGAACATACAGTGGCTAGGCATCGTGGCCGTGCCTCAAGGCGTTTCCTGTGCTAGCAGGGGAGCGCATAGGGAGCGCCGCGAGGCTTCCTTTGACAGGCGCCCGCCCAACCAGACCGCCTCGCCTCCCGCCACTGGGCGGCTCCGCCTCTGTCGGCCCGGGAGGGAGGGAGGGTGGAAGAGGAGGAGGCGGAAGAGCTGCCGCCGTCGCCGTGGGAGCCATGACCGGGCCCGCGGCCGCCCCCTAAGGCTCCTTGGTCCTACGTTCGCCCGCCGGCCATGAAGAGTCCCAAAGAGGAGGCGGAGCCGCCCGCAGGTCGGTCAGGGGCCAGAGGGAACGCGGCGAGAAGCCCGCTGAGCATGTGCAAAGCGCCGGGTCTGTCGGTGTACTGCATCAGTGCGGTGCTACGCGCTTAGGGGAGATTTTCCTCTGCCGGGGCCAAAGGAGCAGCCCCTGCTCTAAGCCCCCGGAGTCGCCGTTGCTCATCTAGCCCCTCTGAAGCCCTCCCCCCTCCCGCGGTTGCTGCTAAAAACAATATCCGGGGACAGATGTGCAGAACGACACGTAGCGTGTCCATGGTTCAGGACGGATGAGTGCGTGTGTGGGGGGGGGGATCTTCCCTTTGCCTTCCCTTCCCGGGCATCTCCTGTTCCCTTTGCCAGTGAGCTGTATCTTGGACTTTCAAGTGAGTCTAGTTGTAACACAGCCACTACTGCTAAAGACCACAGAGAACGTTGTCACTTATCCAAACTTATTTTTCTCTGTGTCAAAATTCAAAGTTCAGGCTACAAGTGCAAAACAGACTTGCAGGTGAGCTCTTCAGCATCTCTTGAATTAGTAGAGATCCAGCCTGAAAGGAATTGAGGTTGGCCATAATAATTTCATCAATGCAATTGTAGAGGAAAAGCTGCCCTGTCCCCTACAGACTACCTGACCACCTGCTGTGGGGGTCTAGATTTGCATCCAGTAGCATCTTAAAGACCAACGACGTTTTTCAGGGTTTGAGCTTTCAAGAGTCAAAGGGAGGCCTGACTAGGGGAGCTTTGGCTCTTGAAAGCTCATACTGCAAAAATATTGTTGGTCTCTAAGGTGCTACTGGACTTAAATCTAGTTGTGCTTCTGCAGACCCCAGTCTGAAACTGTGCTGGAGTCTTGCTCCTGAGCTGCTGGTTTACAGTGGTTGTTCATCGGCACTCCAGACCTGGTTTCTGTGTTTCCTATTTCTGCTGCACAAGTGTCACAAGATTCCTGGCAGTGTGCAAGTCAAAACTCTGCAGGGACAGTTTTCATCTATGGATAATAGCAGAGACTTTGCTTTTTTTCACTGCTCTGTTGGTGTTCATACTGCTGCTATAGCACAGAAGAGCAGAGGGATGACTGAGGATTTGGTACTGTTGGGGGGAGTAGGCAAAGGAGGGCAGAACTGGTGATCCCATACATCTGGCTGAGAGGATGGGAGGGAAGACCTGGAAGTCTCACTGTTGGGCCAGGCTGACATGTGAGGAGCCCTCTTACTGAACCGCCTGAGTTCCAAGGTTAAATAATTACATACTGAAAGAAATTATGGCAGTTGCAGCTTATTGTTCTGATTCAGGTACCTAATTGTTCTGTGTTACCTCACTGAAAGAAACCGATTTACAGTTCTTTTTGAGGCAGCAAAAGATGAGTTAATTAGGCTTAATATCTCCATCCCATGTAATAAGATTACAGACTCACTGCGTGTGGAGGATTAGGCAGTGCTGGTGCTGAAATGCTGACCATCCCCACTTAGTTTCAGCCAGTTTGGTGTAGTGGTTAGGAGTACAAACTGGGAGAACTGGGTTTAATTCTCCAGTCCTCCACATGCAGCAGCTGGTGTGACCTTGGGTCACTCACAAGTTCTCTCAGAGCTGTTCTCTCAGGAGCAGTTCTCTCAGAGCTCTCTCAGCCCCACCTACCTCACAGGGTGTCTGTTGTGGGGAGGGGAAGGGAAAGGAGATTGTAAACTGCTCTGAGACTCCTTCAGGTAGTGAAGGGTGGGGTATAAACCCAATCTCCTCCTCTTCCTCTTCCAGCTGCTGTGAGCCTGTGTTTCTTTTTGCAGTAATGGGTGGATTGAAGCTCTCTATGCAGTGTTGATAACCTGGCTATTGTTTACAATAGGCGATTGTAAGCTGCTCTGAGACTCCTTCAGGTAGTGAAAAGCAGGGTATAAAAACCAACTCTTCTTCTTTTTACAGGAAATACAGGTGATCATTGCCATTGGTATTGACCTGAAATATTTGATGGGGAGATCAGCAAAGCTTATATAGTGAAGTTTAAGTAGTGCATATGAGAGATAATTTTCTTCGTATTACTAGCCCTAGAAATCAAATTACAACTTTGAAACTGCTTAATTTGCCTATTTTAATCCATTTTCTGTGCTAATAAATATTGCATTTTTAGTAGTGATTTTTTTTCCTGCGAAAAAGCAGTTACGATAAATGTTTTGCCCCTACTTCCATGTCTTGGAACACTTTTTCTGATTAATCACTGGTTATTTTGAAGTCTGATGCTGTTGATGTTTTTAAATTAAGTATTGTATGTTTTTACACATGTTGTACACTGCCCTGAGCCCTTCGGAGGAGGGCGGTATAGAAATTAATTAATTAATTCCCCCCAAGGTTGCTATCCTATGATAGCTGTTTGCATAATCACCTTCATAAATTTTATTTAAATTAGGTTCTCTGGCATTTTAAAAAATTGCATGTAGATTTGTACACAATGGAATGAAAGATGAGTTTTCCCTCAGGGGGAAAACTTTTCTCTGCCTTAAAGAGTCTCAAAGTTGCTTACAATCTCCTTCCCTTCCTATCCCCACAACAGGTACCGCGTGCGGTAGGTGGGGCTGGGAGAGTTCTGAGAGAATTGTGACTGGCCCAGGGTCACCCAGCAGGCTTCATGTGGAGGAGGAGTGGGGAATCAAACCTGATTTTCCAGATTAGAGCCTGCTGCTCTTTACCACTGCACTCACACTGGCAGAAGTATATATCTAAGCTTTTCTGCCATACAGTTCATTAACTACTGTCTCCTTTTTTGGTGCAGGGGACCATGTGCAGTTGAAAGTGCCAGTGCTCCAACAGTGGTACCACTGGGACTGTGGGCTGGCCTGCTCCAGGATGGTACTGCAGTAAGTAAATTCGGCGAGGACTGATGATAAAACTTACCAGCAAGATAGTTCCTGGATCTGAGCCACTGTGAAAGTTGCTGACCCTTTAAAAAACTGTGTAACTAGCTATAGTGCCAGCTTCTCAGTTGTGAGAGGGGGGAAAGCATGGACCTTTAGCTTCTATCAGAGACCGATTTGATGTAAAAATTGGAAAAACCATTATTTCCCCCACAGGCTTACACCTTGAATCATACCACTGATTTGCATTGCTCTTTCAGTAATTGTAATCAACAGGTAGCTTTTGTCCCCTTCATTTGTCGTACATATCTTGCCCTTTTCCATTCCACAAAGTTGCTGCTGTTTGTGACCCACAAATAACAATGGTTCTGATTTTCTCTGTGTTGTGTTGCCTGGGTTTCATTTTCCAACCTGCTAGCTGTCCTGCTGAGCTCGTCTTTCCTTCCACAGAGGAACATGAGCTTTAGGTGCAGGAGAATATTTAGATGTCTACTTAATAGATATGAAGCAGAAGATTTTCATTTCTCTCCATCCCTTCTGCCAAGACGTTAGTCCGTGCGCTGGTAATTTCCCATCTTGACTACTTGTAACCTGCCTCTCCTCTTGCCCTACCCATTCCAAGCAGAACCAAACCTCCTTTCCTGAAGATCCAAACCACTCTTTTTCCTCTTCATTTCTGAATTCCAGTGGCTTTTCCTGCAAGCTTCTTCTCACTGCCCAGGTGACCCCGTGACCCTGATCCTGAATGAGCAGCTCTCTCCCGCTGTTCCTGAAGTTTCTCCTACCACCAATTTTTGTCTTGTCTTTCTTCTGTCTGCCACAATGCAGGTCTGGTTCAGACACCATTGTGGTTTGCACACTGGGAATGCACTGCAGGCTCATGTGTTTCCCCTACCCTCCCAGGGTTTGTGCTAATCATAGTTCAGGGTTATGGCTTTATTGGGGCTAACGTTAGAGCTGGCCAGGTTGTTCAAAACTGATGGCTTGCAAGCTGACTTCAAACCATGATTTCAAGGGAGGCCTGGTTATTTCAGACCACAGGGGTGAGCCCTAATGTTGCTGTAACACTGAAGTATAGATACGGAAAGCCATGGGTGTGGGGGATTACTGCTCCAAGAGGGTAGGAGGGAGCACAGAAGCAAACTGAACCATGGCTTGGAGGTCATTTGAACTGTATCCCAGTGTCTGAGGAAATTTCCCATCAGATGTTTGCCAAGTTATTTATTTTTATCCTCCAGTCTCTCACTGGTTAAAAAAAACACCAAACGTGTAGCTATCAGACCCTCTTCTTTGGACCCTATTGCATGTACATAAACCAGTGGATTATAAACAGCACTAAAATACATGTTCGTATAAACATATCAGATACATTACCCTGTAAACCTATTAAGCCAAGAACAAAGTCCCAGGAGCAAGCAAGCATTTGACATCACATTGATTGGAGTTTTGTGTCCTTTTGGTGGCGGGGTGCCTGTCCACTTTGGACTGATCCTATAATTCTGTGTTTCCCATGTGCCATATGAAGTGTTCCGAAATGCTCTTTTTTACCTAATGTTGCATCCACCCCTTTTTATTTAACCTCAGATACCTGAATCTTCTGAATGATGATGAATTTCAGAAGGCTATTCAGGAACTCCGTTTGACAAAAAGCATCTGGACCATTGACTTGGCCTACTTAATGCACCACTTTGGTGTGAAGCACAGATTCTGCACACAGACCCTGGGGGTAGACAAGGGTTATAAAACCCAGGTCAGTTTCCTATTTCTAACAGTGAAATGTTGATATTACCCAAATTCTGGTTCTCTGGCAAAGTGAAGGCAGGGATTCCTTTTGACGGCCATATCAGGTTCAATCCATGGTTTCCTTAGGACAGGGGTGGCCAAACTGCAGCTTGGGAGCCGCATGCAGCTCTTTCACACATTTTAATGTAATGTTAATAAAAAGCAAATCTGCATATTTTTCAATGAAAATATAGGTGTAATATTTGTTCATGTCTTGCGGCTCTCAAACATCTGAATTGAAAACAAGTCAGCCAGTATCATAATGCCCCTGTATAAATCAATGGTGCAACCTCATTTGGAGTACTGTGTACAGTTCTGGTCACCACACCTCAAAAAGGATATCATAGCATTGGAAAAAGTGCAGAAAAGGGCAACTCGGATGATAAAAGGGTTGGAACACTTTCCCTATGAAGAAAGGTTAAAGCGCTTGGGGCTCTTTAGCTTGGAGAAACGACGGCTGAGGGGTGACATGATCGAGGTTTATAAGATTATGCATGGGATAGAGCAGGTTGAGAAAGAAGTACTTTTCTCCCTTTCTCACAATACAAGAACTCGTGGGCACTCAATGAAATTGCTGAGCAGTCTGGTTAAAACAGATAAAAGGAAGTACTTCTTCACTCAAAGAGTGATTAACACTTGGAATTCACTCCCACAGGAGGTGGTGGCGGCTACAAGCATGGACAGCTTTAAGAGGGAATTAGATAAGCATATGGAGCAGAGGTCTATCAGTGGCTATTAGCCACAAGATATAGATAGGAACTCTCGGTCTGGGGCAAGTGGTACTCTGTATTCTTGGTGCTTGGGGGGGGGCAACAGTGGGAGGGCTTCTGGTGTCCTGGCCCCACTGCTGGACCTCCTGATGGCACCTGGTATTTCTGGCCACTGTGTGACAGACTGTTGGACTAGATGTTGGACTGATCCAACATTGGCTTCTCTTATGTTCTTATGTTTATTCTGTGTGGCTGTTACATTAAGCAAGTTTGGCCACCCCTGCCTTAGGAGCACCACTGCAGTGGTGAAGAAGGCAAACTCCATGCTGGGGATTATTAGGAAGGGGAGTGGGAATGAAATGGCAAATGCTGTGTTGCCCTTGTATACAGCCATGGTGCAGCCTCAGTTGAAATACTGTTTATCACTCTGGTTGCTGTATCTCAAAAAGGACATTGCAGAACTGGAAGAAGTACTAAAGAGGGCAATCAAGATGATCAAGGGGTTGGAGCACCTTTCCTACGAGGAAAGGCTGAAGGGTCTGGGGCTTTTTAGTTTAGAGAAAGGAAGGCGAAGAGGCGGGGCCATGAGAGAGATTTATAAAATTATGCATGGGGTGAATAAGGTGGATGAGGAGCTAAAAATAATACTAGAACTTGAGGGCCACCCAGTGAAGTTGATTGGCAATAGGAACATGATCGACAAAAGAAAGTACTTGTTTACTCAATGAGTAATTAAATTATTGAATTAATTGCCGGTGCACATGGTGGTGGCACAAACATAGATGGCTTTAAAAGGGGGGTTAGATAGATGAAGGATAGGTCCATCACTGACTACTGTCCATGGTGAGTAAAGGGAACCTCCACATTCAGAGGCAGTAAACCTCTGAATACCAGTGCCAAGTGGCAACATTGGGAGGAAACCTTTGGCTTTTGTGTTCTGTTGGCTCTCCAGAGCAACTTGTTGGCTACTGTATGAAACAGGGTGCTGGAGCCTAACAGCAGTCTAATCCAGCAGGGCTCTTCTTATGTTTTTAAAAATAGTTTTGGTTTTTGCAGTTCATGAACATTCCAGTCTGTCTGACCTTTGCTTCTACTGAACTGCTGTGTGGTTCTAGATCCCATAGTTGTCTATCCCTCAATGAAGAAGCACCTTCTGGTATAGCTTGGTTCCTTCAAAAGCCACCTGCTCCGAATACGTTCATGTTGGTAGTCAGTCTGACCAGCTTCAATGTCTTCTTTCTTCAGTCGTTTTACAGGAAACACTTTGACACAGAGGAGAACCGAGTCAACCAGCTATTTGCACAAGCCAAAGTCTGCAAGGTGCTGGTGGAGAAGTGGTGAGCTCTTGGTGGTGTCTTTTTCTCTTTTTGCTTTATTGTGCAAATGGGACAACTCTTCTGGAATAGTTAGCTCTAAAATGGGAAAGCTCTCGAGTCAGCCTTCCTTCGGATTTTCATCTGGGCTTAGAGAAATGTATGCCAGCCAAGTTAGTGTCAGACTGGGACTGGGGAGACCCAGGTGAGGAGGGAAGAACTCTTATCTACTACCCTGAGGAGGAGCAGGATAAAAATGCAGCAGAGTGAAGTTTGAGAAACAAATCTCTCATACCTCTTGCATGCTAATCATGTGCATATTTACCTGGAAGCAAGGTCTGTGGAATTCCTTGCAATTTATTTTCATGTTAACATTGATATCAGCAAGGCTGCAGTCGCTTTTGTTTTCCAGCTTGTCTCTCCAGATGGGAGTACTTTGCTTACCCCTCTTTTAAATTAAAGTTGGGATTCTGCTAAGTACAGGTAAGGTAAAGGTAAAGGTTCCCTTGCTCAAAAGCCAGTCGAATCCGACTCTAGGGTTGCGGTGCTCATCTCCGTTTCAAAGCCGAAGAGCCAGCGCTGTCCGAAGACGTTTCCGTGGTCATGTGGCCGGCATGACTAAACACCAAGGCGCACGGAACGCTGTTACCTTCCCACCGAAGTGGTCCCTATTTATCTACTTGCAATTTCTTGCTTTCGAACTGCTAGGTTGGCAGGAGCTGGAACTAGAGACAGGAGCTCACCCTGTCTTGCGGCACCCGGGTCTTGAACCGCTGAACTACTGACCTTCCACAGCCTGCAGTTCAGCGTCTTAACCACTTGAGCCACCGCAGCTCCGCGGTGTACAGGTACCTACATGTTTATTGGGAAAGATTTTTCAGTCTCCAGAGTAGCTCTCTAGAGGCATCATTGCCATCGAAAAGAATATTGCAGATTTGAACCTTTGTGCTCTCCTCGACCACAAAACAAGCAGAAAATCACAATTTCTATTTCCATTCCAAATGAAGGCTCATTAATAGTAAAAACACATGGTAAAAATCAATGGCTGTTAAAGAACAAGATCATGAAAATGACTGGCAAATCTTGGGGCAGAGAGTTACTCTGAACAGGATTAACCCAACGCTATGAAAAGTTGCAGCTGCTTCCAGGAAGTTTTAGGTTGGCTATCAGTTGCAGTCGCTCATCCAGATGGCCACCAGCAAGTTGTGAAGAGCTGGCTTTATTTTTCTGTACTCTTACGGTATCATCTTAAGAATGTAAGTCCCACTGAGTTTGCAAGTTTGTTTAGGATTGTTTCCTTAGTGTCATCCCCCCCCCATCCCCCACCGCATGGAGACAGAGTGTGTGTTCAGGCTTGTAACCTCATCCATCAGGGATGGAGGAAGAGAGTCTCTGGCAGCAGGCCAAAATCTGAGCTGAAGCTGACCCTCAGAACTGGAGTAGAAGTCTTGTGCAAGCTGTCCAGGACTTAGCATGGGTTAGATTGATGTTAATCTAGCAAAGGCTAGTGTTTGACTGAAGGTTTATATAGGGAGCACAAGATCCCACTCCTTCCTGTAACCAGAGTTGGAGCAGAATCCCGCAAAGGTACGGAAAATGGTGCTGGCCTCCTGCTTGAGACAAGACTGCAGGGTGCTTTGAGCTGCCAGGTATGCGGTCCTTCATCTGGTCTGGGCTGTGACACCAGCTCTCTGCCTTCTTCATTCCTGGGGGAGACTGTAGGGCTTGTGGAGGTGAAGTTCCTGTTCTGCTTATATCACTAGCCGTCATAGTGGAAGGAGGCTCTGGGGGGTGCAAGGAGCCTCAGTTATAGCACTGACTATGGAGAGGGTTCCTCAGGCCTTGGGGAGTCTTCCTCCCACACCAAGGCTAGGTCAGGGTAAGTCTTGACAGTATGCAGCTGATACTACAAGTTCCTTTGGCGCTGAGATAAGAGGAGGTGAATGCCAGAAGTGCAAGAGGCATGTGCATCGTGACTGGAAAGGTTGAAGGGGAAGCTGAAGAGCCCGTTGGCTGTGGATCAAATCCAAATAGCATGTTCCAAGTAGTATGGAACACATCATCTTCCATTGTCTTTTCAGCAGGCAAGATTAGCAGCAGAGGGAAAGGTCTTACGTGGGTGTTCCACTAGCAGAAATCCATTGCCTGCTGAAAAGACAGGAACAGCTAACTGCATTTGAAACTTGAGGGCTGGGAGCTCCTGTCCTGTCTGATTAAGGCCTGTGCAAAACATCCAGTTGTTTTATGAAATCCTGTCCTGTCTGATTAAGGCCTGTGCAACACATCCAGTCTAGATGTGTTTTCACATTCAGGCCTTGTGGCCAGGGCTAAAGAAAAATAAATAAATAAACTCATCACAAGTACAATCAAGTTATCAGAAAAAGATCATTTAAAAAAAATCTATTCAGGGCTAACATGCCAGTGGGTGTCAACATGCAGATTTTTAAACCGCCCAGACACCCTTATTCCAGAATAAAATGCATCATCCTGTAGCTCATAATCCTAAACATTTATTGGGATGCACACGTAGCTGGAATTATTTCATCAGCATGGCGATTGTAGCCCTAACCTCCTGTCCTTGAAGCATTATAACATAAGCTTTATGCAAAGACGGAATAGAGTTCATATGTGTAAGCATGTGGAATTTTAACAAATCTAGTCATAACCCTAAATTTGTAACATGCTTCTCACTTGCACAGATTCAAGATTAATTTATTATTATTTATTTAAAACATTTATAATGCCGCCTTTCCACCTAAATAGGGGGTCCCCAAGGCGGACCCAGTTATAGAATCCATATTGCAGTAGCCACAACTTAGCCTTTGGGAGAGGCAAGGAACAAGGAGCTCTTTTAAACTGTATTACTACTTCTCCACGCCATATGCTTACTGGAAGAGCTCCTTCAGGTGGAAATGCCTGTCTGTGGTCATATGGTGCATTTCAGCGTCTGTTGTACAGGCATTCTGCCAAAGTTGCCCCAGGAGTTATTGTCTTTGCTTACACTATCTAGATGGCCTTGAAGGGCAAAAAATGCTTGGCATCTATTCCGGTCCTCAAACAGTACTAGGGACATAATTGATGTTTTGATGGCCGTAGCTTCTTGGCTAGGAGCCCTCTTAGCCTGCTTTCTCTCAATCTTCTTTTACAGCACAGTGACTATCCAGGACATCCAAGAACACTTGGCCCAAGGCCATGTTGCCATTGTGCTGGTGAATGCAGTCCTGTTGCTGTGTGACCTGTGCTCCAGCCCAGTCAAATACTGCTGCTTTCTCCCCATTGGACAGAAGTGCTTCTGCAGGAGCCCCGACTACCAGGGCCATTTCATTGTGTTGTGTGGCTACAACGAAGCCTCAGGGAGTATTTATTACAACAACCCTGCCTATGCTGATCGTGAGTAACCACCCCCTGCTTCCAAGCTCTGGTTTCTCCTTCTCTCCAGTTCTGTGAGCTTTTTAAATTTAAATTTCAAAGAATGCTAGTCACCGTTGCTGTTCTGTGTCTGCTGTGATCTCCTAGCCTGTGTGGATTCATGGCTACAGTGTGAGTGACTGGAGATCCGAGCTCACATTCTTATCCTGTCACAAAGCTCACTAGGTGACCTCGGATGAGCAGGCCCACTTTCTTAGCCTAGCCTACCTCACAAAGTCGTGAGGGAAAAAAGGCGGGCAGGGGGAGGTCTTATGTGTACTGCCCGGAGTTTTTTTTATTTATTAAACATTTTATATCCTGCCACATCCAGAATTGTGACATATGATACAGCACAGAAGCACAGTCAGATAAAATACTGAAAATATTAATGAAATCAACCCATCCGTGGAAGGAAAGGCATGATAAAAGTGTTATAGAACAGTCATTTTAAAATATTCTACACTGGCTGTTCTGTGTTGTTACTGCAAGATGTTCATAGCAATGCATAGGGTTGGATCCAGACAAACATTTCTGCAGGCACAAGGATTTCTACCCATGGAATGTGATTTTTCTACTCCCACCCCATGGCAGCCCCAAATCCCTCCTGAAATTGTTCTGGGGGCTCTCCTCTCTCCCAGAACAGATTTCTGTGGATCTGAGGCTCCTACAGTAGAGGGGGAAACTGCATTCCATGGAAACATCTAGTCTGGATCCAAGCCCTAGTCAGTCTCTGAAGCATGGGCTGTCTGATTTAGCATGCAGGGGGATGCTGATTAGATAGCCCTGCTTTCCAGCTGTGGATTCCCACAGCTTCTGGTCTCTCTTAAACCCCGATTCCCCACTGAATACCTGTTGGTCCTATCCCACAGGAACATGCAGCACCAGCATCAATAACTTTGAGGAAGCCAGGACGAGTTACGGCACAGATGAAGACATCCTGTTCATTTACACAGACAGCTGACACCCGGGACTGGCCCTTCCAGTTTGTCATTGGCCCAGCCTGCCCAGCACCTCTATGGGCAGCTAGCTTGTCTCAGGACTCCTGCTACAGAGACTTTGCTCCCAGACTGCAGCAGGATTGCAAACAAGGGATGCTTTAGAGACGTTGGTAGAGCTACATTGCTGTCCTATCACCATCTTTTTATTCTTGACGACGAAATAGGCTGTGTACATACACTATGCTATATACATACATACGGATGTGTATGTATTTAATTTTAATTTTGCACACTTAAGTTTAAAATGCAAAATCAGACTTTTTTCCTGTTGGATGTCAGACCCTTTTCCTTCCCAGGAATAAAACTCTCCGAAACCAAATCCATATAATGTTAGTCGTCACTTTGGGGGCATTTGGAGAAAGGGTAGACACAGGAAGAAGCGACAGATAAAGACACATCCTTCACCCAGATCATAATAAACTATTTTTTGAGTGCGCAGCTAGATGAAGAAGTCCTTGTTGTCTAAAAAGGATTCTACAGACAGAAGCAGGCTGATTGCTACAGCTACTTTTGAAGCAGAGGCGGACGTCTTACCTGTGTTGGCAGCAGGCTGGAAGTGCTTTCAGAAGATTGGTTTCAGTCGGTGAAAGGGAAAGTTGTTGCATAGCGAGTGCACTGCCACCTTGGAAACGGTGGTGTGAATCTGCTCACTGCATGCCACCCATTTATTTTCAGATACTCTGTTTGCTTCCTCGGTGCAGTTTTTGGGGAAGGGTTGCAGACTCCTGAATGTACCATGCTACTTCTCAACAAGTTAAATATTTTCAAGATAAATTTGGGGGAAGTGCTTTGCTAACTTACCGGTTCCAGCGCCACACAATTAAAGATCTTTAAACCTTTGATTTTAAGCATGTTGAACAGTGGAAGTGGGGTCAGCACCGCTACCACTTGAACAGTCATCATTTGTAGGACTCTGAAGAAAGCTTTCCCCTGCCAGTAGCTCCCAAGTGACACTTGCCGATGGCCAGCCACAGGCCCAGCCTTACTGTTGTTTTTAAACTGATACTGCGCTGTCAGAACATATCTAGAAACTGATGTCATGGCAACAGAATGATACTTTAGAATTCACTTAAGTGTGTGCAGTTGGCAGTATCAGTACAGGGCTAACAGGTAGGGATGGAAACTTCATTAGCTGCTACAGATCTGTAATTGGAGACTGGAACTCTATTGCTAACACTATTCATGAACTTCCAAGGCAGAGGCAGCCAGCAGCCAGATTCAGAACGGAAATGGGGAAACTCCTCTTAGCTGAGTTGTAGAACAGGTGCTAGCCAGAATCCACTTTCTACCTCATCAGTACTACACTCATGCTCAGATGGGACTTCCCTGATTGTTAAAATAAAATAAAACTTTTCATACAGCATAATCCAATGTGTACTTTATTTGAAAGTATTGCAAATACAGAGAATCGGTGGTGACACGCCTGACATTAGCCAGTGAACAAGAAACAAAATTCTGGCAACGATAGACAATTGAAATAGGGAGACACCAGTGGCAAGGCTTCCCTTGAGGATTTTTAAAGAACTGTGTGCCATTAAATGCCACGTTGCTTGGGTTCAAAATCTTATCCACCCCAGAAAGTGAATGTGGTGAGACAAGTGCTCTAAATCATCTGAAAAACAAAGAAACCCCATTGCACTAGAAGCACAGACCTTAAGAACAGGGTAAACATTTCTCTCCTGCTGTTGTGGCCTTTTATGGCATGATCCAAAGAGTTCTGTGTGTCACTTGGGATTTCTGAATTTCTTCTTACCTACAGCTCTTCTGTTTGAGACCATTTGCAAGGAGTGGGGTGGGAAGAGCAAAGCTCTAAAAACTGTACAGTGGGTAAAAGGTCAGTCTTTACATTCTCATTTATGCTATTTTTTGTTAAAATAATACACACTTTGAACAGTAAAGGGGAAAATAGTCCTTTCTGCTTAAGGCACTGCTGAATTCTTTTAAGGCTAATAATACTAAAGGGCCATTTTATGATTTTAAAGGCCAGGAGTCATAGCACTGTAAAAGACACAGGATTTAAATGCACCTGTTGTTAATTAAGTAGAACTGCTTGCTGATTCTTACGCAGATCTTTCACATAAGACAACAGACGTATAAACCGTTCCCAAATTACAATTTTAGATGAATCACTGGTAGGCATGACCACCTCATTCCCTGATGTGATGGAGGAACTGACCCTGGAAGACTATACAATTTAGGAGCCTGGCCTTTACAGCCAGTTAATTTTTTTTTTTTAAAAAAACCCTCAATTCAGAAAGCGGCTTAATAACAAAGCAGAAGCTACTACTGGGGAGGGTGCAAGAGCAAACATTTCTGCATTGTACAAAGAAAGGTGAAAGTGCATTCCCTCCATTAAGGTCTCTCAAACATACACCAGGCTAAAAAAGCAAGCAAATGGATTCAGTGCAAAATCAAAGGCAATTCTGAGGGGGGGGGCATTCCTTTTGTATCCAAAGTCACAGGCTTGTTTAAGGAAACATATCTTAACCTCATTCTTTTCTTGTTCATCTGGCTGCTGAATTCAAGCAAATATTCGTCACAACAGGCCTTAATTCACTCTTGTCCATAACAAAAGAAATATTTTATGTAGAGAAATTTTATACGGAAAATATACTTTGTAATTGAGTCACTCAATAAAGGATTAAGCTGTAATCCAAGAACAAAATGCATGCTTCTTCCTTCTTTCGGAGAAGCTGAGAGGCTTCACAGTGGATAGTTTCTAAAAAGGAAACTTCAAAACTAACTTTCTTCAGCATCAAGTACCTGGCATCAAAGTATATTGCGTTGCATGGGGGTGCACCTTCCATTCAAAGGGGGTGAGGAGTCAAAATTGCTATTAGCCAACTGATTCATATGGTGTTCCCAGTAGTAATGTATGGCTGCAAGAGTTGGACTGTAAGGAAGGCCAAGTGCCAAGGAATAGATGCTTTTGGATTATGGTGCTGGAGAAGACTCTTGTCTTGAGAGGCCTTTGGACTGCAAGGAGATCAAATCAGTCAATCCTAAAGGAAATCAACCCTGACTGTTCCCTGGAAGGCCAGATACCGAAGCTGAAGCTCAAATACTTTGGCCACCAAATGAGAAGGAAGCACTCACTGGAGAAGACCCTGATGCTGGGAAAGATTGAAGGTAGAAGAAGAAGGGGACAGCAAAGGATGAGATGGTTAGACAGTGTTATTGATGCAACAAACATGAAATTAACTCCGGAGGACAACAGAAGACTGGAGGGCCTGGCGTGATGTGGTCCATGGGGTCGCAAAGAGTCAAGACTCGACTGTGCGACTGAACAACAACAACTCATTCATGCCTTTTGAGGCATTCTCCCTGGAGGAATGTTACCAAAAGACAGAGATCATGTCTGAAAGAGAAAAGGAAGTGGGCTTCCCCTACACCATGCGAGAAGGTGAAGAAAAATCACTCAAGAGAAAAATCACTCATGGATAATATTAGGCACAAAGTTAGGCTGTACCACCGCAGCAAGTTCCTTGGCATACATCTCGTACCTCCCAGTCATCTGGAAAGAGGAAAAAGAACTTCAGTGCTCTTCCATCACTTATATCACTGTAAAAATTCAAACATACCAGTCCTAACCTGCTTCTCACTGCCATCTTCATGGAGATATGCTAGACGATCTGCACACAGGCAAGAAAGTCGTCCTTCCCAGAGATGGAAAACATTTGGCTATTGATTCCAGCAGCCTTTTGCAAGAGAGGAGATACTTTTCTCACTGTTGCCACAGCAGCCATTTAGGTCTGATGGAAACAACCCTCTGGAGTTGGCAGAAGGGCTCCCTTTTAGCAGCAGTGTGGGGTCCATTTCATGGGTGTGGGTGTGAGAGGTGGGTGTGGGGAAAGCCTTTCTGGTGAAAAAGAGTTGGGGTTAAACACTGCTAGTGAGAGCAGTGAGGACATGGTGAACCGGCCAGGCTTTGAGTGGCATGAGAGGAGGGATCACAGTTCCCTTGGCACATCTGCTGTGTTTGTTTTTAATCTCCTCTCTCTGGTTTTGCCACTGCATATTGCCTCTATTAAGGGCATCACGCCTCTCCCTCATCTCATCGTCTTGTCACATAACAGAGAGAGATCTGGCTACAGGTAAAGGCCAAAAATTAAATGCCTTTGGGTTTTCTCCTCTTCTGGGTCTCCCACAAGCCAAGCACCCTCTATTTATCATGTCCGAATGCCATCAAGTCTACAGCTGTAACTGCTACTGCCAAATGCCACAGGAAAATAACATGGAGGCTTTAACCCTGTATAAGGGAGCTGACCTACCTTGTTTTACTGAAGCCCAGCTGAACAGGGCAAGTAGTGTGGACCATCTCAAATGTTGCCCTCAGAATACATATGCTTGATGGTCTAGGAAGTGGAGAGGCCATGGTCTACAGGAATCACACCTCCAGATCCTCTGCTTGCCTTAGTGCTAGTTGGTGGGGAGTTCTCTAGACCAGGATGGTGCCTTTCAGCCTGTTCTGGTGGGAGCTGCATCCTCATAAAGGATTATGTTCAAAGCGTGGGGGTGGGGTGCCTTGTTTTTGGATGTCCTCTGTAACTCAAAATATCTTTTAGCAGTTTTTCTGGTATGCCATCTACACCACTACTTGGAAAGAAATGACCTTGCTATCATGTCGACACTTGGGTCATGTCAGACTACTGTAATGTATTCTACGTGGGGCCGTCTTTGAAAGTCTCTCAGAAACCTCAACTGGTTTAAAATGCTGCAACAGTTTTGTTAACAGGAACGTGACGTATCAGCCCAGTGCTGCAACTATCGACACAGGGCTCCAGTTTATTTCTGGGCAGAATTCAAAGTGCTGGTTTTAACCTAATAGATCTCCTAAATGGTCTCGATCCAGCATCTCTGAAAACATGTGCTCTCATCCCAAACTGCCTGTGCACTGAGGTCTGTCTCAAAAGCTCTGGGTTCTCCTACTACTTGAAATGAGTTGGTTGGTGTCTCCGGATGCATACGGCCTTATGAACTGAGATACCACACCCTGAAATATTCTCCCCATGAGATCCATCTGGCATCTTCACTTACTGGCATCAGTTATTTGGTCTGTTGCTCAATTCCTTGGTTTTTGTGTGAGACTTTGATCCACTGGATTCACTTACTGCTGATTATGCTGATGCCATTTATTGTAATTTTAGCTTTCACTATGTACTGTTTTCATGTGTTTTTAACTGCTGCCAGATATTTTGGAAAAAACTGTCATTTGGAAAAAAGCATATATTTTTTTTAAAAAATAATTTCGTAGCTCCCCCCCCCCCTTTCAGTCATAAAAGCTGGCTTTTATATAGTTTCCATCCTTGGTTATTTGAAGAGTCTGAACATTTAAAGATTTCCAATTCTACAAAGAGTAACCCGGACAGGTAAGTCTGCTCTTAAAGTAGCTTTAAATTGGCATAGCTCAGCTGAAGCAATCTATCATGCCTCCCTCATGTGCATGCACCCGCCTCTTTCCCGGTTCCACACTTTGCCCTCAGTGATAATGGATACCAACAATGAAAACCAGAATCATTCTAGAACTTGTAGAAGGCAGCAAGAGAAAGAAACTTATGGCTTCTTGTGCACATCTTACTAGTGTATGTGACTGTTAGACAATTTAATCCTGTCACTTTAAACATATTTGTATTGTTTAATATGTAGCATGAAATCTATCTCTTTGGCAGCACCAAGGCTGTGGAATGCCCTTCCAACAGAGGTTTGTAGGACTCCCTCACTGCCCGAATGCAGGAGGCAGGTGAATTCCATTTTCTTTCATTAAAGTTTTGGGCTTATTTAAGACTGCAGATTATTGAAATTGTATCATGGACTATGGCAATCATACTGAATTTGATGGATTTTTTTGGAAGCTGGTGTTATGGAATATTTCATCCGTTTGTTGAAAGCTGCCTTGAGAACTCAGTCAGTCAAACGTTTGTAGGAAAGAAAGAAATCTGAGCAAATTTGCACAGACAAAGCCTTACCTTAAAATTCCATTTGTCACCAACTTGCCTGCAAATATTTAGGTCCATCTCAGCCACCAAAAGGCCATCCTGGGTGCGGGAGAGTTCAGGGGTTCGGCTCCCATCTGGGGAAGCCACGTAGCTTGAGCCATAAAAATGACCCAAATCATGATGAGCTTCAGAAACAGCAACAAAATAAAAAAGCCATAGCAAGTTAATTACATAATTTAACATGCTGCTTGGAGGCTCTTCTTAAAGGAATTTCAAGGCACATTTTTTAATTGGTAAGGGGTTTCTCTCTCTCTCTCTCTATATATATATATATATAAATAGTCTCCCTGCCCATGCTCATCTGCCTAAATTAAAGCTTTCTAGGCGGCAGCAGCGTAACTACTTGTAACACATGGTTCTGCTATCTGGTAACTTATGTGGTTACATAATGAGCAGGTGGAATTGCCTTTGCAGGAGACAGTTCTAGGCGGGAGGAGCCCAATGATAGGCCAATGGAGGGGGCCTTCCAGTCGCACCTCTCCCCCAGGTGCAGACAGGTGGATTAACAGATTAATGGTTTTTGTTCCTTTTTCATTTTTAGTTCTGGTTTTATTGTTCTTTATGTCTCAATTGCTTTTTAATTTTTCATTTAATTTCTAACATGCCTGACTGAAGGACAGGTTTGGAATTCTTAAAGTAACTAAATGTAGACACAGGTTAATGCAGACTATGGCTTGAGGGTGGGAAACACCCTTTTTAAAATTGCAAATATTATTTACAGCATCGATGAGCCTTGCTACATGGTACAGAGCTGAGCTGCAAGCACAGTCTCATGGTTCTATGATTTCTTTTCATGAAAAAAGTGTCATGGAAAATTTCTAGAACCAACGTATCTTTTCAGTGTGTTCCCCTAGCAGGTAAAACAGAAACTTTTGTTGAATTTTCTTTGTAGAGGAAAGGACAAGAGTACGGCTTAAACTTATTTTTTTGTTCAGATCATGGCCACAGTTCAAAGAGCTGCTCTGATTCACACAAGACACTCTGCTAGATGAGATGGATTCCTTTGAACAGCCAATGCATAAACAGCTTTTGAAACACTCCTTGGCATTTTGCCACACAATATCAAGAGGTTAGTGAGGTTTCTGTTCAAGTGAAACAAATCTATCCAAGAGTCCTTTTGCACTGATATGGGGCTGCTTTTCTACAAGCAGCTGGATTCAGAACTACAGCGGATAATCAGAGAACCAGTATGGAGTAGTAGCAAGGGTCCACCTGGGAGAGCCAGCCATGACCCTCAATAGGTGACCTTCAATGCTCCCTCCAAGCTGTGGAAGTCTTGTGAGCAAAGAATTCTGCTTTGTGAGCTACTTTTGTGAGCGAGCAATTTGGCTGCTGCATAAATTAATTTGCTCTGGAGCCACCCTTCCTGAGCTAAGACAAAAATCTGTGAGCTGGAGGCTAAAAAACTGTGAGCTAGCTCACACTAACTCAGCTTAGAGGGAACACTGGTGACCTTAAAAGTTAAGCACTTTCTGTCCCAAGAATAAAAACAGGAGAAGGGGGGTGGGGGAGAACATGTACATTGCCCCGAGCCTCTTGGAGGAATGGCAGGATAAAAATGTAAGGTAGGTAGACAAGCACCCCCACCACCCGCCTCACAGCCACCTTCAGTGGCCATCACTGATGTGAGACTGAAGGCAAGCAGCAGAGAACAAAGAGCTGTTGATTCAGACTGTTATGTCCGCGGACCGCCACTAGGCGCCAGTGGTATGCAACCCGAGCTTTGATTCAGACTGTTATGTCCGCGGACCGCCACTAGGCGCCAGTGGTATGCAACCCGAGCTTGGCTCCGTAAGAACAATAGGGACTAGGATCCTGAGCCTATCGGAACTGTGGCGGGAAGTTCAAACCTTCCAATGGGACTGGTGGGTTTGCCTCTGGGACTGTATATAGTGCCGGTATTGTTGT